GCTCTCCACGTCGAACACGTAGATCAGCACCTCCACGTTGCGGAAGATGTTGTCCCTCTGGCTGGTGAAGTAGTTCTCCATGAAGGTGTCCTGGCTGAGGGGCAGAGCAGGACACTCCCTTTAGGGCAGCTCCTGCCTGGCACGCTGGGTTTGTGGGAAGCTCCTCCTGCCAGGAGGGCAGGGCTGGGATTTGGAGCTGCAGCCCCCACTCGGGAGGCCAGGCTGGGGCTGCGTGCCCTGGGCATTCCCAAGGAAAGCTGGATGCTCCTGGAGAGCATCAGCCCCCCCAGTCCCACAGGAAACCAAAGCTTCCCTCATGTGCTGCTGCTTCTGGCCTCAGGTTGGCTGCAAGGAGCTGTTTGTGAAAGCCCACAGCAGCAGGAATAGGTGAAACGTGACCCAAAGCATCAGTTCAGCCTTAAATCCCAGGATTTAAATCTCCTTTAACTCTGGCTGAACATGACTGAGATGGTCCAGAGGCCATGGAACTGAGGAGGGGACACATTCCTTGAAAAAAGCTGCTTCCAGGAGCCACAGGATCAACCTCCAGCATGGCCTCTCTGCACAAATCCCACCAGGATGGAGCTGGAGTGAGCAATTCCAGCACCTCAGGACAGCAGAAGGAGCATTCCCTTGGCACCACCTCATCCCAGGGAGAGAAAAATCCCCCCTGCTCCATCCCTGATTCCCCAGAGCCTCCCCCAAAGGCTGGGCAGGAATAATCAGTACCTACCCTCCACAGTCCCACAGGTTCAACACCAGGTTTCCCAGGAATCTGACGTGGGAATGCTCCACATCAACTGCAAAGAGACAGCAGGAGCTCACTGACTGCACCACAGCCAGGGCAGAGCTTGGCAGCCAAAAATCATGGAAATCAGCACCAAATCATGGAATGGTTTGGGCTGGAAGGGATTAAAGGCCTCATTCCAGCCCCTGCCACCTTCCACTATCCCAGGCTGCTCCAAGCCCCATCCAGCCTGGCTCTGGACACTTCCAGGGATGGGCATTCCTCAGAAAGCAGCCCCAGTTTGTAAAATCCCACCAAAACCCCATTTCCCAGAGGAACTCAGGCCTCCCTGCCCACTGCTCTCCTGAGATGTGCAGTAAGTGTTCCTCTTCACTCACACACTCCCTGATCCCTGGGATATTGTAGGAATGACTGCAGGGCTCTAAGCCATCCCTGACAAAATAAACCAGGAACACAGGGAATGTAAACTTCAGGAAGAGGCCAAATCCATGGCAAAGAGGAAATTTACACCAATCCCTGATGTTAAATCCACACTGGCCCTTCCCAGTGAGAAGCACCAGATCCCAACAACTCATCCACCTCTCCCAGAGGAATCACTTCTTGCTCTTTCCCAGCAAAGGCTTTGGAAAGGGAAGAAGGAAAGGCATTCATTAAACCCAGTGCATCATCCTGCCAAAACCACGGGGGCAATGCAGGATCCCTGTGCTGGAGATCCCTGCAGGAGCAGGAACATTCCACCAACACACAGGAGGCTCTGACAGGTGTAGCTGCACCACAGGCTGCTTCCTGATCCCAAAAAAAGGGAGTTAAGGATAAAAGTTTAAAAATAAAGCAGCAAAGGCTGCTTCCTGATCCCAAAAATAAAGAGTTAAGGATAAAAGTTAAATAATAAAGCAGCAAAGGCTGCTTTGTGACCCCCAAAAAAGGGAGTTAAGGATAAAAGTTGAACAACAGAGCAGCAAAGCCGATCCCAGCGCTGCCTTTCCCTTCCCTCCACTTCCTGCCTGTCCCTGGCTGATCCCGAAGCTCCCAGCAGGGTGTGGCAGCTGCAGGGACACACCCAGGGGACCCAGGGATGGCTGCAGGGAACGGCCCCACCCCTCTGCTGAGGGCTGGAGCCCCGGCTGTGGGAACGGGGCAGGTCCTTACTCGTGGCCCCCAGGCGCCGCGTGTCCCGGGCGATGTAGTTGGCAAAGATAATGGATCTCATGCTGGTCTTGCCAGACCCACTTTTACCCATCAGCAGCACCTGCACACAGGGAAAGAAGGAAAAATGAGCTCCCACAGAGCACTGAGTCCCCCCCCAGCTCCCTCGAGCTGACATCTCAGTGCCAAAGGCACTGAACACAGCACTGGCACAGTCCAGCTGGGAATGCACCAGGACAGAGGCAGAGAGGAGCACGTGGGGAGCAGGACAGACACCCAAGCAGTCCTGGGTGTCACTGAGCCATGGCCATCCCACCTCCCTGCTGGCCTTGGTTCTCAGGCCATGGTCAGATTGAACACTTTCCTCCAAAAACATGGACAGGACCTGGGAAAAGCAGGAGCTGCCTCCCCATTCCCAGCCCCTCCCACCTGATGGCTTAGGAACAGCTTTGTCTCGACCCCTCCAGACCAAAACCAACCAATCAGCTCCTGGTTTTCCACCCCAAACATTCTGTCCCAACCAGACAGGGTGGGAGGGACCTTAGACCTTCTAATACTGCTCTTCCCACAACATGACTGGTTTTCTTTTCCCTAAATACCAGGGAAATTCCCAGTTTCAGGTGCCAGAAGACCAAAAAAAGGGGAAAAGCAGATGAGACAGCCCAGGTCAGCATTCCCAGAGCAGGGGAGACCCTTTATGGCTCCAGTGATGCCCCTCCAGAGGAGACTCTTGGCTCCATGATGTCCCGTCCCTGCAGAGCTCAGGGGAAAGGAGAGGCAGCCAAAAAGCAGGGAATGCTGCTGGGGGTGGGGATGAGGGGAGACAGTCACACCAGGCAAGGCTTTACATTGTGATCTAAAAATAAAAATTAAACAAAACAAACCCATCAGTGGCAGCCAACACAGCGCTGCTCACAAAACCCAGCTGTTAAACAAGTTCCAGTCACAAAGCCAAATGCAGCTCCTGGCAGCAGCCCTGCCAGTCTGCCATCCAGGAGGGATTTCAGGAGAGCAGCCCAGTGAGTGCTGCCCAGCTCCCACCCCCACCCTGGGCAGCAGGGCAGGAGCTGGGCACAAAAGGCAGGCACAATTCCCCAGGGCCATGTGCTCAGCTCATCCCTGCAGCAGCTCTGGGCTGGGAGCACCCTGGCCACAGGGACGCTGCCCACAGGCTCCAGGGGCAGGCAACAAGGAGTGCTCCTGGCTCTTCCACACCCAGGAGGGCTGGGGAGGGCCCCCAGGATGCTGCCCTGTCCTGTCCTGTCCCCTGAGCTGATCCCAGAGAACAGGCAAGCTCTTATTTCACAGCACCAGCACAAAATCCCAGGCAGAAACTCGATCCCAGTCTGAGGCACGGCCCAAACCAGCCTCAATTCCCAAAGTTTAGGCTGCAGAGGCCTTGCAAAGGGGTCAGACAGCAGCACGGAGAGCCAGGCAGGGAACCTAACCCTACCTCACCATGGAGAAGCAGACAGATATTCCTTTAAGAGCTCTGGACGTGCTCCTGCTGGGATACACCCACCCCTGCCATGCCCAGAGCTGCTGCTCCTTCCCCACGTGTTAAATTTCATCCTCCTGGAGCCCCGAGGGCATTGGGGCTCCTGGGACACCTCGGGAGGGTGGCCCAGGGACCGGGGAGGGACAGGAGCAGATCTTCCTCCCTGAGAACAGGGTTTTGCAGAGGGTTTTGCAACAGCCCCAGCAGTGCCCGGGGAACAGCAATTGCTGGGGAAGGCTCTGCAGGAACCCAGCCCATCCAGGCCAGGATTAAAGCCGGGTTTAACCCAGCCCATCCAGGCCAGGATTAAAGCCAGGTTTAACCCAGCCCATCCAGGCCAGGATTAAAGCCGGGTTTAATAATGCCTGGCACCTCCAGCAGAAGATGCAGCACTGACTGAGAGGCACCAGAGCCCCAGCCGAGGGATGGATCCAACAAGCGGTGCTCGTGGATGGGGATGGGGAAGGGAAACACCCTGTCTGTCCTTACCTTTTTCTTCATGGCTGTGCTTGGCATCACACACCTGCAGAGAGAAGCCCACCTTGGATCGCTGCTTCCCACACGCACAGGCTCCACTCACCAATCCCAATCCCAATGCCAATGCCAATCCCAATGCTGATGCCAATCCCAGGGCCGATCCTAATGCCAATCCCAATGCTGATGCCAATCCCAGGGCCGATCCCAGTCCCAATGCCGATCCCAATCCCGATCCCAATCCCAATGCCGATCCCAATGCTGATGCCAACGCCAATCCCAATCCCAGGGCCGATCCCACCCCCGGTACTGGGGAAGCGCTGACACAGTCCCACCTCCCCTCCCCCTGCTCCGGCCCATGGGGAACTCCCGCTGCTGCCGGGAAACCTCCGGCGCTCCCGAAACCACCCGGCCCGGCTGGGGTGGCTGCGGCCGGGCCGGCAGTGCCTCCGCAGCCCCTTCCTTCCCTCAGGATCCCCGCAGCCCCTTCCCGGCACGTTCCACAGCCCCTTCCTTGCCTCAGGATGCCCGCAGCCCCTTCCTTCTCTCAGGATCCCCGCAGCCCCTTCTCCCGGCACGTCCTTCCGTTCCCCCGGGATTCCCCGCAGCCCCATCCCCGCGATTCCCCGGGGATTCCCCGCAGTACCGGGCCGCGCCTCGGTACCTCCGGCGGCGATGGGCGGCTCGGGGCCGGCTTGGGGGACGATGCCGGTGGGACCCCCGGCACCTGCGGCGGCTCGGGGGACGCTGCCGGTGTGAGCCCCAGCAGGTCGGGCGGTGCGGGCCGGAGGCGGTGCGGGGCTCGGGCCGGTGCCCGGTGCGGTGCCCGGCGGGCCGCAGGCGGTGCCCGGGGCGGTGGCGGGGCTCGGGCCGGTGCCCGGTGCGGTGCTCGGCGGGCCGGAGCCGGTGCCCGGGGCGGTGGCGGTACCCAGTGCGGAGCCCGGCGCTGTGGCGGTGCCCGGTGCGGTGCCCGGGGTTACCCGGGGCTGTGGCGGCGCCCCCGTCCCGCCCCCCCCCCCCGCTCACGGGACCCAGCGCTCGGCGGCCGCCGCCGGTCACGTGAGCGCGCGTCCCTCCCGCCCCGCGCACGCGCGCGCCCCCGTTGTCACGTGACGCGAGCGCGGGGCGACCGAAGCCCCGGCCGCCATGTTGGGTGAGGGCAGCGTCTCTCTGGCAAGGCGGGGGCGTTTATTGGGGGCTTCTGATGAGTCCCGGCCATTCCCGGTGACTCCCGGTGTCTCCCATGGAACGGCAGAACAGGATCCGGCGGAACCGCTCTGGTGGTGAGCGGGGCGGCAGTGGCTCTTTGGCATGCTCGGGTGGACTGATTTTCAGCGCCTCCCATATGGTCTAGCGGTTAGGATTCCTGGTTTTCACCCAGGCGGCCCGGGTTCGACTCCCGGTATGGGAAGCATCGATTTTTTTTCCTGCCAGATCGGGAAACACTCCGCTCTCCTTTCCTATTTTTCCGCACGTTCTCCCTCAAAACTCCTTCGACACTTGATTTTTGCACCTCTGCGGTAAAATTTCTCGGCACTAGGAGCCCCCTGAAGCCGTAGGAAGCGCTTTGCCACTGCAAACCCAGCCTCACACCTATTTAAACCTTTAAGTGCATTGGAGCATAGAGGCCCCAGCTAATTAACATGCTGTTAATTGGCTTTTCCTCTCTTTTTTTCGCAAGCAAGAAAATTCCTGCTTGTGTCCCACGGTGTGTTTTAAACCACCCTAACTTCCTCAAGGCAAATAGGATTGTGCTGAAGATACATATTTAGAAATCCACATATGATGTACAGATTTATACATGTGGGGGCTCATTTATTGCTGAAGGTACTCCTGGCATCTCCCCCAGACCTGTGGACTCAGAGATGTGCTGGGGTTTCCTGGATTCCAGAGATCCTGGGAGCTGCTGCTGCCACAGATCCGGGGCCATCACCTTGGGTGTCCCCTCCACAGAGCCATCAGTCACCTTGGGTGTCTGTGAAAAATGCGTATTTTATGACTGGCTTTTTGCAAATAATAAAAAATAATATTATATGTGTTATGTTAGAAAGTTATGCTGTGTTAATTTTCCTAAATAGTGTGTTAAATATAGTTTTAGGTTATAACATAATGTTAAAATAGAAACTATGGTACGTAGGATACTTTTTTTTAAGAGAGCACTCGGACCGAGATAGCAGCCACAGGACACCTAAATCTATCAGAGAAAGAGAATTTATTGCTCCATTATCAGAAGAAACGAACTTCTTCCTGCCTTGCTCAGCCCTGAAGACACCATCAGGATTCAGAGGAAGAAGCTGACACTGACCAGACAGAATCCTGTGTTTGAATGGAATTGATGCATCATGAATGCGTGTATGAATATGCAACAGGCCGTTGCTTTTAAGGGTTAATCCTCTGTTAACAGTGGGTCCTTTTTCGGGCTTATTTTGCCCAGAGAAGGTACTCGGACTGTCTATAACTCCTTGTTTTTATTGTCTCATATTGTCCTAAATCCTAATTGTCCAAATTATTATTACTCTAATTACATTGCTATTTTTATAATCATTTTATTACTATTAAACTTTTAAAATTTTATAAACAAGTGATTGGTGTTTTTCACAGTGTCCCCTCCCAGAGCCATCAATCACCTTGGGTATCCCCTTCCAGCCTCATCACCCTGCGTGTCCCCTCTGAGCCTTGTCATCCCCCTCAGTGCCATCACCCTGTGTCCCCTCAGTGCCATCACCCCATGTGTCCCCTCAGTGCCATCACCCCGTGTGTCCCCTCAGTGCCATCACCCCATGTGTCCCCTCAGTGCCATCACCCTGTGTCCCCTCAGTGCCATCACCCCGTGTGTCCCCTCAGTGCCATCACCCTGTGTCCCCTCAGTGCCATCACCCCATGTGTCCCCTCAGTGCCATCACCCCGTGTGTCCCCTCAGTGCCATCACCCCATGTGTCCCCTCAGTGCCATCACCCTGTGTCCCCTCAGTGCCATCACCCCGTGTGTCCCCTCAGTGCCATCACCCTGTGTCCCCTCAGTGCCATCACCCCGTGTGTCCCCTCAGTGCCATCACCCCGTGTGTCCCCTCCTCCCTTGGACTGTTCAATGGGTGGGAAAGGCAGTGCTGGTCCCACAGGATTCCAGGTTTTGAAGCTTTTTTTCCCCCCATTCCTTAAAGCTTTCAAAGCAAACATGGATGTAAAAATGGGTTTGGATTTCTCCTTTAAAAACCAGGAAATATGTCAGGAAAACACCTATCCCCCTTCCTTCTTGTACTGGACTTTAACAAGTGTTTTCTATTTACATTTCAAATATTCTTGTCAGACCCTGAAACCCAAATTGCAGTTTTGTCTGACTCTGGGTGTGTTCGTGTTATACTCATGCAAAACAAATCCCAGGAGAAGCTGTGACGGTAACTTTGTGTCCCCTAAAACTGTGCCAAGGTCCACAGAATTTGGAGCCATTTTACCTCTTTGTTCCTCTTGCTGAACTCTCAGATATCCCAATTAAACAGAAAAAAACTCCAAGTTTGATTAGCTGTGAAGGGGGAAGAGAGTAAAATGGGGTTTTTTCTCTCCCACCCCCCTTCCTTCTGGACCTCTCCTCTATTTTTAAAGCAGATTTTTGAAGAAAACGGTCCAAAGTCAGAATATTCAGATAAAATCTGTCTAATTCCCTGATGTTCTTGCAGGAGAACAACTTGTCTCCAATTTTGGAACTCAGTTTCTAACTGAGCTGCACAATGACAACATTCACTTGCTGCCAGCAGCTGCTCTGAGCTGTCCTTGTTCAGCACGAGCCTTCTGCTCACAGATCCTCTACACTCAACTTGTTAATTTTTGAAGTTTTATTGGCCAGGTTTTCACTGAAGAACCCAAAAGCTGTAAAAAGTGCAGCTCAGGGGCTGTGCAGAGATAACCCCTCACTCCAGGAGCCAAGTGCACCCCCTGCACAAGCACTGAGCGCTTCAAACTCCTGCTTTTGTGACTGTGGCAGACCACAAAGAGCTGAAGGAGGTGGGGCTCAGCTCCTTCCTTGACAGACTGCCCTGGATTTGGGATTTAGGGCTGTTGGCATGGAGCTATAAAGATCAAGGCACCAGCATGCCCTTCATCTTTAGCAGCAGCTCAGGAAAGCAGGCAGGAAGTTGTGCTCACTCCCAAAAATATCCCAATTTATAAATTCAGCCCACAGGACAAAAATAGCTTCACCAGCAGGTATTGTTTAATTCAGGAGTGCTCTGAAACAAACCAGTGACCCCACAGAATCCTTACTGTCAAGGAGAAAAACCCCAAACTGAGCTGCCAAAACCCAAAGACTGAAACATTTTGCATAAAATGTGCACAAAAAGCAGCCTGGGGTTCACTGCTCTGATCAAAGCTGTACTCAGGGCTCAGCAAATGTTCCAAGGCTCTCCCTGCCTTCACTGAAGGGTTTTCTTCACACAATGAACATTTCCATCACTTTTAGGGAACAGAGAGCCACAAAATGAGCAGGAAGGTGTTTCACACAGGCACAAACTGTTCCCACCTGTCCGTGCCCAGGGAAATGAGGCACCTTTAGAGCTCTGGGCAATTCTGAACCAGGAGAAGTCACCAGCCAGGCCTTCCTTTGTCTCCCTAGCCCACCCTGACTGCAGGGGATCAATAAATGTTATTTAAATGCAGGGCAGCAGTGCCTTGTGTGCAGCACTCAGTCCTTCCAACGCCCCAAAAATCAGCAAAATCCTCTGAAGGACGTGAGGTGGGCTGAGGGTGTGAAGGCTTTGTGTCAGTGCTGCTGTGGGTAATTAGCACAAGGTCATTAATTACCAGACTGGTTTGGGCTGGAAGCACCTTGAAGCTCATCCAGCTCTGCCCCTGCCATGGGCAGGGACAGCTCGCACTGCCCCAGGGTGGCACTCCCTGGGCACACTGTGGTGGCTGTCACAGCTGCTCTGCTGCTCCCCTTCCAGCTGCCCCTGTCTGCCCTGGCAGGAGCTCTGAGTGTGCAGGGGAAAGGAGGGGAGCAGGGATGATCAGAGGTGGGTGCCTTGTGTCCTGGATTGCCAAGCAGATTTTATTCTATTTGCCATCTGTATGGCAGTTGTCTTCTGTTCAGTGGGCAGTTTTCCTTATTGTTGGAACCCAGGAAATTCCTCTGGCTGCCCTGGAGGGCTCGAGCCCCTGCCCAGGGGGCTCAGAGACCTTGGCACAGAGCCCAAGTCTCCTGTGCCTTTGATTTAGCCCTTGGAAAAAAACAACCTTGTATGAAGAATTATAAGCCATGAAAGTTTAGGTAGAATGAGAGTGAATTTATCATGGGGTGAAAAATAGATTTCTGGGGTTTTTAGAATGGGGTTCAGGGGGCAAGATGGAGGGATCTGGGCCTGTCCAGCCTTTCTCCTTCTTCTTCTTGGCCTCCATCTTCTGCTGTGATGTTGGCACTCACAGATTGGTTTAGAGTAGAAGCTCACTGTCTAACATAGGTGATGGGTATTGGAAAGTAACTGTAAACATTGTACACATAATTTTTAGTATAAAAGATAGCAACACTGCTCCAAGGGTGGGCAGAGTGCCTGGAACTGTCCTGCTGAGCAGACCTCGGCAGGACAGGAGAAAGAATTTTATAGATAAGGAACAATAAACAACCTTGAGACCGAGAAATGAAGAGCCCTGACTCCTCCTTGGAGTGCTGGGCTGGGAAAAGAGAATTTTTAACACATCTCGGGGTCACTGTGAGCAGCAGAGACCCAAGACCTTCTCTCTTCCACACCCACTCCTCCCTCTGGGGGACACCTGCTGATAACAGCCATTGAATGTCTCTGCATGGCTGATAAGAACTACAGCATCCCACTGGGAGATGTGAGCCCAGAGGAGGAGCCAAGCATTCCTACCCAAATAAAATCTGGAGATTCTGGAACACCAGCACAGCTTCTGCACTGGATTGCCCAGAGGAACAGCAGCTGCCTCTGCCCCTGGATCTTCAGAGGAAGAGACTGCACCTTTCTCCAGGATCCCTGCTCCAGCAGAACCAGCCCTGACACTGCAGGAGGGCTGAGCCACAATTCCAATGGGACTGCTGCCAGCACCCTGACCCACAGGGTGTCAGGTTGTGCTCTGAGTCTGTCAGTGTTGGTTTAGTTTACTGCATTTATTTTATCTTTTTATTTTCTTCCTTAGTAAAGAACTGTTATTCCTGCTCCCTTATTTTTTGCCCGAGAGCCCCTTAATTTAAAATTTATAGCAATTTGGAGGGGGGGGGGGGGGGTTTACATTTTCCATTTCAGGGGAGGCTCCTGCCTTCTTTAGCAGACATCAGCAGCAGAACAGGGTTTGGGGAAGCTCATCATGGATTAACCACAGCCTGGAGCAGCTCCTTGACCACCTTCAATTCTTCCTTCGGAGAGCATTTGTGACCGGGTTTCTGCCCTTCTGCTGCCTGCACCTCTGGGACACGAACCAGACCCAGCCTGGAAAACTCCCCCGGCACCAGCACAGCGCCAGCCTCTTCCACGGCGCGTCCCTCAACCGAGATCTGTCACCCACAAACGGCGACTCTTTCCTCTGACCCTCCTAAAGCCACCGTGTGACCCCTGGGACGCCCTGGTCCAGGTCCCGGAGCCCGGGGCCGAGCCCGGAGCCCAGAATCGCTTCCGGAGTCAAAATGCTCCCGGAGCCCAAAACTGCTCCGGAGCCCGGGCCACTCCCGGGGCCGGGGCCAGGGCCGAGCCCGGAGTCCAGAACCGCCCCCGGACTCCAGGGCCGCTCCCGGAGGCCAGAACCGTCCCCGGAGCCGCTCGCGGTTCGTTCGCCGCCGCTTCCCGGAGCGGGGCTCCCCCTCACAGCCCCTGTGACGTCACCGCCACGCCGCCGGCTGCGATTGGTCGCTTCTATTCCCGCGCCTGCGCACTGGCACGGCTGAAGCGGCGCTTCCGGGTTGCTGGGGTTCGCCGCTCTCCGTCCCCCCGCCGCTCCCGGTGCCCGTGGTGCCCTCAGTGTTCCCGGTGCCCCCGGTGCTCCCGGTGCTCCTGGTCGGGCAGTGCGACCCCTCCGCCGCCCGCGCGGTGTATGAGCCGGCCCGGCCGGGGCGGCGGACACGGGAGCGGGCGCTGCGCGTGCGTGAGGTGCGCTGCTCCTGGCGCCCCCTGGCGGCCGCGGTCGGGGCCCCTCAGGCGCCGGGAGCCTCCGGGGCGCTCCTGTCCCTGAAGGATCGCTGGGGCTGGAAAAGCGCTCCGGGGTTATCGAATCCGGGTTTAGCAAAACCGGGGTTAGCAAAACCGGCCTGTGGCCCGTCCCCACCTGGTCACCAGCGCACAGTGTTCCTTGGCCACCTCCAGCGATGGGGACTCAAACCGCACCGGGCAGTTCCAATCCCTGACCGCCCTTCCCATGGGGAAATTCTGCTGATTTCTACCCTGACCTGCCCTAGCCCAGCCTGAGGCCGTTCCCTCTCCTCCTGTCCCTGTTCCCTGGAGCACAGCCCGACTCCCCCGGCTGTCCCCTCCTGGCAGGAGCTGTGCAGAGCCACGAGGGCCCCCCTGAGCCTCCTTTGCTCCAGGCTCAGCCCCTTCCCAGCTCCTCTCCAGGCTCTCCTGGGGTTCCAGCCCCTTCCTAGCTC